TCCAGCAGAGCCTCCAGTCCCAGCAGCTCTAGTACCTCCAGTACAAGCACCTCCGGGACCAGCTGCTCCAGGAACTCCGGTAGAAACAACTCCAGTAGCAGAGTCACCAGCTCCAGCGCCTCCCGCAGCAGGGCCCCTAGCGCGAGCAGCGCGACCCTGACGGCTAACGTACCACTCACGCAACTCCTGTGGACCAGACACCTCCAGTACGGGCGGCGACGACACCTGGGGGCGTTGCAGCGTCTGGTGAGCAGTCTCCCTGGAGCGGCCATCTCCGTAGTCGCTCTCCTGGTGCCTCGCCGCCGCACTCTCGTCGTCGTCTCCCTCTATCCCCACAGCAGCTGTGTGAATGGTACGTTAGCCGTCAGGGTCGCGCTGCTGGAGCTAGGGGCCCTGCTGCGGGAGGCGGTGGAGCTGGTGACTCTGCTACTGGAGTTGTTTCTACCGGAGTTCCTGGAGTAGCTGGTCCCGGAGGTGCTCGTACTGGAGGTACTGGAGCTGCTGGGACTGGAGTCTCTGCTGGACTTGGAGGTGCTGCTGTCGACTATGAGGTTGGAGGCCCTAGAGTTGGAGGTGCCGGCTCTGGGGGTGCTACTGCTGGTGGCGCTGGAGCTGGAGGTTCTGGAGCTGCTGTGGGTGCTGGCGCTGGAGGTTATGGAGCTGTTGGAGGTGTTGGCGCTGGTGGCGCTGGAGCTAGAGGTTTTGGAGCTGCTGCGGGTGCTGGCGCTGGAGGTTCTGGAGCTGTTGGAGGTGCTGGCGCTGGTGGCGCTGGAGCTGGAGGTTCGAGAGCTGCTGCGAGTGCTGGTGTTGGAGGTGCGACACCTGAGGGTTCTGAGTCTGCTATTGCGCGCGGTCTCCTTGGAGTAGCCGACTTCGTCCACGTGTGCCTCTCACCTCACAGCAGCTGCATGACTGGTACGGTCGCCGTCAGGGTCGCACTTCTGGAGCTCGAGGCTCTGCCGCTGGAGGAACCTCTGCTGACGTCACTGGAGCTGGGGGTGGTGCTGGTCCCGGAGGTGCTCGTACTGGAGGTACTGGAGCTGCTGGGGCTAGAGGTGCTGAGCCTGAGGGTGCTACTGCCGGAGACCCTGGGTCTGGGGGTGCTGCTGTTGGAGACACTGAGGCTGGAGACCCTGGGACTGGAGGTGCCGGTTCTGGGGGTGGTGCTGCTGGTGGAGCTGGTCCTGGAGGAGCTGGCGCTGAGGGTTCTGGAGCTGCTAGAGGTGCTGGAGCTGCTGGGGCCACTGGAGCTGCTGGTGCTGGTGGCACTGCACAGCCGCGCCTGTTCTTCGCTCCACTGTCTCCGTCGTCTCAGCCACCTCCTGACTCTGTGCTTTGCCAGGTTCTTAGTCTCCCTTCGTCTACTGGTCTTCTATTACAGCCTGGCTCACCACTGCCTGCTCCTTCTCCTTACACTGAGCAGACAGGGGGTCTTACTGAGCGTCGTGTCCTATCTTGCCTGTCCGTTCTAATAGGTCCGGTCGTCGTGTTCCTCGTCCGCGTCAGCCGGCTGTCCCCGCCACCCACCTCATAGTCCGTCGTCCTTCCTCTCCTCCGCAGCGTGTTCCTCTGCCGTCTCCTCCTGCGTCTTCTCTGCCTAACGTTCCAGAGCCTGAATCTGACCGCGCTCGTGCTGCTCACCCTATTGTCACGCGTCTGCTAGCCACAGTTGTCACTGATCCGTCGTTAGAGTCTGCTGCTGCATCTGCCTTAATCGCTGAGCTTGTTGAATTTGCTGCTGCCTGTCATCTAGACTACGTCGCTAGTCTTGTTGCTGAGTCTGAGTCTCTCTGTCCTCCATCCGTCGGGGGTGAGTGTGCTCTTGGCACGGACGTCCTTGAGCACAGGCAGGAGGACCTTCAGTGTCTTGCACCCGCTGTGCCTCATCTCGTGTCCATGCTGCTTGCCCCTGAGGGAGACCCGGATGCTCCAGACATCTCGACCCCGCGCTCTTACGCTGAGGCGATCACGGGTGAGTACTCGTCTCAGTGGCAGACAGCCATGGATGCAAAGATGGCATCCTGGAAGTCCACAGGCACTTACGTTGACAAGGTTCCCCCTCCTGGGGCGAAGATCGTTAATGGCATGTGGATTTTTAGGGTGAAGCGGCCGCCAGGTTCTCCGCCTGTCTTCAAGGCTCGTTACGTTGCTCGAGGTTTCAGTCAGCGAGAGGGAGTAGACTTCTTCTAGACCTTCTCCCCCACCCCGAAGATGACCACTCTTTGGGTGTTGCTGCACGTTGCCGCTCAGCGTGACTACGAGCTTCACTCTCTTGACTTCAGCACAGCTTTCTTACAGGGCAGCCTGCACGAGGAGATCTGGCTCCCCCGCCCTCCTGACTTCACTAGGTCGTTCCCTCCTGGTACACAGTGGAGCCTTCGGCTGGCGGTCTACGGTCTCCGCCAGGCGCCACGTGAGTGGCACGAGACACTGAGGACGACACTTGCTCCTTTTGGATTTGCTCCGTCGACTACTGACCCGTCGGTGTTTCTGCGGACCGACACTTCGCTGTCGCCGTTCTACATCCTCGTGTACGTCGACGACTTGTTCTTTGCCACTGCTGACACTGAGGCTCTTGCCCTGGTGAAGTCGGAGCTGCAGAAGAGACACAAGTGGACAGACCTGGGTGAGCTTCGCAGTTACCTTGGCTTGCAGATCATCCGGGACAGAGCACGCCGCACCATCACACCGACTCAGTCACACATGGTGTAGTAGGTCCTTCAGAGCTTCGTCTTCACCTGGTCCTCGGCACAGGCCACTTCTCTGGCTACAAGTAACTCGCTCTCAGCTCCACCTTCGGACGAGTCCGTAGAGCCGAGTGGTCCTTACCCAGAGCTAGTGGGCTGCCTCATGCACCTGATGACATGCACTCGTTCTGACCTTGCGTACCCTCTTGGCCTTCGGGCTCGCTATGTGGCTCCTGGTCGGCACCGAAAGGTGCACATGGATGCTGCTAAGAGGGTACTACACTACTTGTGTAGTACATCGGGCATGGGGCTCGTGCTTGGAGGATGGGGCGACGTTGTCCTCACTGGGCACTCGGACGCTTCTTGGGTTGACGACCAGGCTACGCAGTGGACGTCACAGGGTTACACCTTCAGCCTTGCATCTGGTTCAGTTTCTTGGTGTTCTACACGCTCGTCTTCAGCTCTCAGCTCCAGTTGTGAGGCTGAGATCTACGCCACAGCCATAGCTGCACAGGAGCTATGCTGGCTCACCTACCTGCTGACCGACTTGGGAGAGCGGCCTCGTTCTCCTCCAGTGCTGTACGTCGACAACAAGGCCGCCATTGGCTTGTGTCAGGAGCATAGACTGGAGCACAGAACGAAGCACATCGCTCTGCATCACTTCCTTGCTCGAGAGTTGCAGCAGCGTGGTCAGCTTCGTCTTGCTCACGTGGCCACTTGGGCCAACACTACTGATATATTCACCAAGGCACTTCCGTCTGGTGATCATCAGCGTTTTTGTAGTTTGTTAGGCCTTGTGCCCATGTTTCCTCACTTGCTGTAGGCTTTGCCTGTGCTGTGATCGATATATATACCTACATGCTTGCTCTGCTAGGTAGAGATCACTGTGCTGTCGTTGTTGCATATATACTTCTGCATGTGAACTGGCCTTGTGGCCCTTTGGTTGTGCTCAGTGTGTGTGATGACGTTGTGATCCACCCTGAGCTTGCTTTGCTTCTCTTGACTGGTCTTGTGACCCTCAGTTCTCCCCCACTTTGCCTATAGGGGTGTGTCAAACTATATATTTAATGTTAGGGTGTAGGCTGTAGTGGGGTAGCACATATGGGGTACAACACATTGCTAGGGTTTGTTATTGTACCCATCTTCCCTATAGTCAATCATTCCTGTCTCTAGATTCTAATAAATACCGTCAAACCTTAAAGCTTGCGGCCCAAATTGCGGGCAGCGCTGGGCAACCTTAGTAAGGTTGATCGATAGTTGTTTTGCAGGTGCTGGTTTTGCGAATTGAGGTTACGGGTTGTGCGAAGGAAGATGATTGGCTAGTCAATTTGAAACACTGAGTTGATTGGCTAGGAAAATTGAAACAGTGTTTGCGGAATGGGTTGGGTGGGAAACTGACAAGGATAGTATTTGTGCAATATGGGACTCATGCAACCGAACGCGAAGTGGCCCCTGGGGTCTGCTGAGTCAGCGAAATGTGTTTGAGATTGGCGAGTCGTTGGGCGAAACCTAAGCCCTCAACCCTCCCAACACCTCGACTTTCCAACCCTGCTCCCTCACCTCCCAACATGCAACTTTAGTAAAGTTGTACAATTTGGACCGCGAGCTTTAAACCGTCCTGCCAACCCTGCGCTGCTGAATGCCTAGCGCGTCTCGCATTGAATGAATTTTGGATTCTCTCGATTCTTGAACAAAACGAATGTCGTCATGATTTTGGGCTTCCCCTTCCCCAACTAATTCACTAAAATGTGATTTTCTATTTGAAAAGTACTGGCAAGCATTTACGTATACATCGCCTATTTCTTCCTTCAAATTTTCCTTTTCCATTACTTTGCATCATCCTGCAAAGAGTGTACAACACAAAACCAATCGTCTCCTTGCCATTCTCTCCTTACTATCCCTCGAGATTCCACTACTTCCGCACCGTCTTTTCTTACCCTTTCCTCACCTCGTAACCCCAGAGTGATCCTACACCAAAGTTATTTCCAAAAAAAAAAAAAAAAAAGAGGTTATTTCCAAACCTCGACAACAACACCCGTGCTTTCCACGTCACATAGCTACATGCACAAGCTTGCAATTGTCTTCTTGGTGGTGCACTTTTAGGTCTCTCACTCGACTCATACGGTAAATAAAAGGAAGCAATGAAAAAAAAAGGAACAAAGGAAGCAATAAATGAAAAATGAATCAACTCACAATTCATACACATAGATCCCATCCTCCCGTGACCCCACTCTCACATTGTCTTCAACCATGGTCCCAGATGCACTTATTTTTCAAAAGCATTGAGAAGCCTCGAGTAAAGCAGCGTTTGTGCTACTGCTGTACGTGAGAAGCACATTGAAACGGGAAGAGTGCAATGGTGTAAGATGTGACCCCCCCCTTCCCCCCCCCCCCCACCCCCCGCCAGGTTCATCAGAGGATGCGTTCTTTAGCGATACCCATTTAGGCAATCTTGCTGATTCCAGCAGCCTTTTCTGCATTCTCAGCTTGCACCAGGGCAGCCTTGAGCTTATCCGTGAGCTGAGTCACCTTCTTGTCAGAGGCAGCCTGGCTCTGCTTTGCCTTCGCCAAGCGCGACTTCGTTTCAGTAACCGCCTTTTGCTTCTTCGTCTGGTACTCGTTAACCGCTTTCTGCGCGTCAGCGACAGCCGCGAGCAAATCGTCGTACACCTGGTGGGAGACGGTAACCGCAGCTCTTGCGTCATCCACAGCCATCTGGAAAATGCTCTCTTCCTGCGGACCCAGCGTGATCAGATCGTTCAATTCCTTCTGCATGCGCTCCAGCCGCGCCTGCGCGCGCTGATCCTGCGCCACCATGTCCGGATAAACTTCCTCCACAGATTTGCGCAGCTCCTGCGCTCCTGCGAGCGCCGCCACCGCCGCGTCGGAGGTCGGGTTCGCCTTGAGAGCCTTTTCCGCGTCAGCTTCCTCTTGCGCTGCCTCCTGCACGACGTTCCGCCATTCCTGTAGCAGCACCGTCGTCATGCTCGCACGCCGAGTAGCGTCGCTGACCGCCTTCTGCGCTGCCGGAATTTGCGGGTGCTTAGACGGATCGGCCTTAAACGTTGCGAGGTCCGCGATCCGAAGAGCAAGAACCTTGTTCGCAATGTCGAGATCGTACTGTGCATCGGCGACGCTATTGTTTGTGTCGGAGACGCTTGAAACGAGGTTGTTGAGAGCCGCATCTTCCGGGCTCTGCAGATCGGACAGCGCTTGTTCGGCGGCGGCTACTTCCTCCGCGTTTTTGGCGGCGTCCGCTTGCGCGGTTTTCAGGTCCGTCGCGGCTTGATCTGCAGCGGCACGCAGCTTCTTGGATTTGTCTACAAGAAACGCGTTCTGAGCAGTGGCGGATGCGCCTGGAGGAACGGCGAGAAGCGCGACGAAACACGCCAGAAAAGCGGCAGCGAGAGCAACCCGTTCAGTCGACGTCATGCTGTCGATACTATTTCAGGGTCAAAGCAGCTCGATTGTTTTGCTGGACTCCGTACGAGAGATCGTGGGAATCAAGCGGCGCGGGCACTACTCAAAGACGCTGCTCGAGGCTGTAGACAATGGGGAACCGCGGAGAAGGAAAAGCACGTGGCTCTCCGATTCAAATGATGTCTCGTGCTGGATAAGCACGGCAAGGGAGAGTGATAAGCTGGCAGTCTAGTTGTTAACAGTAAGGACTGTTGAAAAGGAGCGAGAGTGAAGTGTGAGAGCGAAATGGTTGTGATCTGCTAAGTACAAAGCGGCCAACCCGCATGTTGTCGAGTCGAGCTCTTCTCTGCTGTGTTTGTGTGGAGCGCGGCGCATACTAGGCTTTGATAGCCTGATGCCGCCCGTGCATCCCAGCCTGGCATATTTGGAAGGTACTGCCCATAAACCTATAAACCAATCCTTCTGAAGAATTTCTTTCATGGAAAGCAAACGTAACTTTCACTGACCAGGCGAAGTTGTGCTCCTCAGAGACAAGGAACTCGAAGCCTACAGAGAGGAAACTTCACTTTTGGCTGGACCGTTGACTGGAGCAAACACACACAAGTGAGCTGAATCTCCCCTTCTGTGGTGTGGTCAGGTGGCAAGGAGCCACATGCACAGGCCATGCTCGATGAGCCAAGTGTTGGAGTCAGGCCATCGCGAATCGCGATCCGCGGCGCGAATTCACTCGCGACTCGTCTGGCTTCTCCCCTCCCTTGCCTTGCCCCACGGCACGGGTTGTGAGGAAAAGCATTGCAAAATGCGTTGTCTCCAGGCGACCACACTGGCAGTACTCCTCGAACCGCATTCGCCTCAGCGTAGCCTCGATCAGAAAAGAATTGGGTTGCGTTCATGTTCGATATTATTAGGGCGTGCGTCTTCTGGAGTGTATTGTTACGGGTGCAATGAATCTAAGTAGAGAGAATTGCACTAAGGTGTCAAACGAGTACAAAGATGTGAGCGAAGGCATGAGCGAACATTTATACGTGTAAGGAAAAATCCTTTTCCTTACTTCGCATCCCTGCTCAACGCGTACATCACTGTAGCACCACAGTCAGCACCGTTACCACTCGCAACCCTCGCATTGACAATCCGCCAGGGCTTACTTTATAAGAAATTTTTGGTATGAATTTCTGGATTCTGAACACATTTTTACTGGTTCATCTGATGCCGTAGACATGCTGTTTAATTTCGTCTGATTTTTTTAGAGAAGCTTTTTCTATTCGTCTGATTTCTTAGACAGCCTTATACAGTTCGTCTGAGACTGCAGATATTGAGTCCTTTTTCGACTGAAGGCAAAACTCTCGAAAGAAGCAGACGACAAGATTCGACCTGGAAACCACAGTTATCACTGCTCCATATTCTACTGACCGGAGCATTAGAGATGTTCGTTGATGTTACTTGACATACAAAATCATATTTGAAAGTACATTGCTTGCTAGCTTTATATCTTCTCAGACAAGTAATTAGGATTCGTCTGAAAAGCTAGACAAGGTTACAGCTTTCGTCTGACAATCAGACAAGGAGTCAGGACCCGGTCTTGACATCAGACGGGTCATTTTACTAAAGTTAGCCCTGCAATCCGCCCGCCACCTTCGCACATCGCACCCCGACCTCACGGCTCGGCGGGTAACCCGCGCTCCGGGCCTCCGCTTCGACACTTTTTCCCAACCTCAGTCCCAGGCCCGTCGCGCGACAACCACAGTCCATTACCGTTACCACTGTAGTTTTGCTATATATTCTTCGCTCATGCCTTCGCTCATTGTACTCTTGCTTCGATAGTGCAATTCTCGTTCGTTCACTCAATTGCACTCGTAACACTTGGTATTCAGAGCCTACGATCTCCTCTCGGACCGCACCCACACCTTCGCTTCCCCACTATCTCAATTTTGGGGGGGGGGTAGACGTCTCTCAGCGACACAGCACAGCCGCTCGTAGTGCTCTCTCGTAAGCACGCACGGCCACGACCGAGGCTCTCGCTGAGCTCGCCCGACACCCCCGCCATGGCCGAATTCACGCTCGCCACATTGACGCAGGAGCAGCTCGACCGTCTGGTGCGCCAACTTGAAGATTCGGCGCTCGAAATTGCGATGCTCACGGCGGAACGTGAGTCCGTGCGTCAGCAATCAACCATGAACACTCCAGCGCCACCACACGCACCGACAAATGCATCTGCACAATCAAACGAGCCGATCGTCATCTCGTTCGGCACACCAACACAAAACAACAGCGTGGGGCAGCGCTCAGTCGCAGCCAGCGATGGCGCCGCCCAGCCGATGCCTGGCAAGGGAGGAAACAGGGTCGTACCAAGCCCGCGGGAGCCTCGCGGAGCCCGTCGGCTCGTGGAGCTCGCGGCGACAAGTGGCGAACAGGCCATTATGGCACCAATGCCACTCAAGCCGCAACGCCCGCCCTGCTTCGACCCGAGCCAGCGTGGAGGTCCGACGGTTCAATCGTGGGTCTTCACGATGAACGTCTTCTTCGACGTGAATTACGTCGAGCCGGACGCAGCGAAGATTCGGTATGCCGTTTCGCTGCTAAGGGGCCCCGCCATGGACTGGTGGCGAGTCATCGTGACGTCACCACGCGCCTACGAGCCACCGTCGCAAGAGGAAGGGCCCACGGGCCCAGCTGTCAACTGGAGTTCATTCTGCGAGACCGCCCAATACAGCACGTGGGATGCGTGGTGCGCAGGGCTTCGTGCGCGCTTCGAGCCGATCGCGGCTTCTATTTCGGCGCATCAGAGATTGCGCACTTGGCGGCAGCTTGGATCGGTTCAAGACTATACGAGTGGTTTTCTCGCATTATGCGAGCAAGTCAGCTACATGCACGAAGCGGAGCGGGTGGACCTGTCAGAAGTACGAAACAGGAATGATTGACTAGAATGACAGTTGGGTAAAAATAGGTCAAAACCTAACCATAGAATTGTGTACCCCCTATAGGCTAACCCACTGTAGCCTAAACTAACACAACATATATAATGTTTGACACACCCCCATAGGCAAAGTGGGGGAGATCTAGGGGTCACAAGACCAGTCAATGCAAAGCAAGGCAAGACAAGCTCAGGGTGGATCTCAAGGATACCACACAAATTCTGAGCACAAGCAAGTGGTCACAAGACCAGTTCACATGCAGGTTTATAATAGAGCAAAAGGTACAATGATCACAACCTAACAAGAGTAAACATGCAGGTATATATATAGAGATCACAGTACAAACAGACTCAAGAAGTAAGCAAGTGAGGTCCAGTAGGCACAAGGCCTAGAAGAGTGCAAAAGCGCTGATGGTCACAAGGCTGAAGCGCCTTGGTGAACACATCAGCAGTGTTGGCCTCAGAGGCCACGTAACGCAGGCGAAGCTGACCACGCTGCTGCAGCTCTCGGGCAAGGAAGTAACGCAGAGTAATGTGCTTCGTTCTGTGCTCCAGTCTGTGCTCCTCACACAAGGCAATGGCTGCCTTGTTGTCGACATACAGCACTGGAGGACAACGAGGCTGCTCTCCAAGGTCGGTCAGCAAGTAGGTGAGCCAGCGTAGCTCCTGAGCCGCCATGGCTGTGGCGTAGATCTCAGCCTCACAACTGGAGCTGAGAACAGAGGAAGAGCGAGTAGAACGCCAAGAAACAGAACCAGAGCCAAGACTGAAGGAGTAACCCTGAGACGACCGCTGAGTAGCCTGGTCGTCTGCCCAAGAAGCGTCTGAGTGCCTAGTGAGAACAACTGGGACTCGCCCTCCAAGCACTAGCCCCATGCTCGACGTACTGCACAAGTAGCGCAACACCCTCTTAGCTGCATCCATGTGCTCCTTCCGATGACGGCCGGGAGCGACATAGCGTGCAAGAATGCTGAGAGGGTATGCAAGGTCTGGTCGAGTGCAGGTCATCAGGTACATGAGGCAACCCACAAGCTCTGGATACGGGCCACTCGGCTCTACGGACTCATCCGAAGGCAGAGCTGAGAGCGAGTGACCGGTAGACAGAGGAGTGGGGTAAGGCGAGGAGTACGTAAAGCGGAAGCGCTGAAGGACCTGCTGCACCATGTGTGACTGAGTCAAGGTGATGGTGCAGCGTTCCCTGTCCCGGGTGATCCGCAAGCCAAGATAGCTTGTCAGTTCACCCAGGTCTGTGCACGTGTGTCTCTTCTGCAGCTCCGACTTCATGTGGGCAAGTGCCACAGTGTCAGCAGTAGCAAAGACCAAGTCGTTGACGTACACAAGGACGTAGAACGGCGGCAGTGAGGTGTCGGTGCGCAGAAACAGCGACGGGTCAGCAGTAGAGGGCGCGAACCCAAGAGCCGCAAGCGTAGTCCTCAGTGTGTCGTGCCACTCACGAGGCGCCTGGCGGAGACCGTAGACTGGCCGTCGGAGGCTCCACTGGGTACCAGGAGGGAACGACCCAGTGAAGCCAGGTGGACGGCGCAGCCAGATCTCCTCGTGCAGGCTGCCCTGCAGGAAAGCAGTGCTAAAGTCAAGCGAGTGGAGCTCGTAGTCACGCTGAGCGGCGACGTGCAGCAGAACCCGAAGAGTGGTCATCTTCGGGGTCGGGGAGAAGGTCTGGAAGAAGTCAACTCCCTCTCGCTGTCTGAAGCCTCGTGCAACGTAACGCGCCTTGAAGACAGGCGGAGAGCCCGGCGGCCGCTTCACCCTGAAAATCCACATGCCACTGACGATGTTCGCCCCAGGTGGGGGAACCTCGTCGACGTAGGTGCTAGTGGACTTCCAGGAAGCCATCTCTATGTCCATGGCTGACTGCCACTGAGAGGAGTAGGGACCGGCCATCGCCTCTGCGTAAGAGCGTGGGGTCGGGATGTCTGGTGGATTCGGGTCTCCCTCAGGGGCAACAAGCATGGACACGAGATGGGGCAAAGCGGCAGCAAAGCACTCAAACTCCTCCTGCCTGTCCTCAAGGACGTCAGTGCCAAGAGCACACTCACCCCCGATGGACGGAGGACAGACAGACTCAGACTCAGCAACTAGG